AAATATCAATATGTGCAAATTTATTTCTGAAAATTTAGAATGAAAATATTTTATATTTACTATTTTTAACATAATCTGTGTACCTACTTATCTTTGTGTGTAATTTTATTAAACTTGCATGTATCTGTGGGACTGTGTAAACTTGATACATTTTACATAAATCACAGATTTTCCTTTCCTAAAGATTGCAGCGTGGTATTTTATATTGTTGTGTCAGACATCTTCCGTTTAAGAAGCTTGTTGCAGAGGCTGTTGTTGTCGTTGTGACGTACCATCGAGTCAGTTACGACTCACAGTGACCCTGTATAGAGTTTCCAAGGAGTAGCTGATGAATTTGAACCGCCCACCTTGCGGTTCGAACCGACCTTGTGGTCCAGTGCATTATCCTGCAGCTACACCAGGACTCCTTGTTACAGAGGCTAGAAACCTGATTAATAGAAATAGCTTACAAAGATACATCTTATGCAGAAAAGTATTCCAGGTAGATAAAAAGCATAGTGTTATCACTCGCAGGTATTTTACTGACAGCTGCCCAGATGGCTGAAAAAGCATGCCATATCATTCAAATAAGTTAAATCTGCATTATATGATAGTCATTACATGGGTTTAAAGGTAAATTTACTACAGACAAAGGGAAAAAAAATCAAATGCAAGAATAGAAGTGACAGAAGAATAAAATTAAAGTAGGCGGATCCAAGAGAAAAGCTGCTTGCCACAGCTTGGATTGGTTATATCACATTTTTCTTCTCTCATAGACATAAAACATGTAAGATGCTGCAAAATCTAATTATGATGATTTTGTGTAATATTTGTTTCCAGTTTTTATTTATGTTTAAAAGTGAGATGATCTTATAAAAGCATCCTTTTAGAAAGGAACTGAAAAATAAAAAAAATATTAACAAAAATCGGGCAGAAAGCTACTTATTCTTGTCAGTTAAAGGGAAGAAACAAAACCCACTACCACTGAGTTGATTCTAACAAATAGTGACCCAATCTAGGGTTTCTGGGCTATACGTCTTTATGGGAGCAGACAAGACAGTCTCATCTTAATCCTTCAGTGCTGCTGGTGTATTTGAACCTTGTGGTTAGCAGCCCAGCACTAAATTTAACTTAGGGTTTGCTAAAACAATAGCCACTAGCATAAAAAAACATAAACAGGACCCCGAAAGAGTTTTTATAGCCAAAAATCAACCTGATGTGAGCTCATATAAGACTTCTGGGCACCATTTAAAATTAGATGTGATTTAGCCTGAATTGAAAATTGGCTTCACTTGTCATAAATGGATTCTCAAATATTTATAAGAAAAGGAATACCCTATACCCATTTACATGTGTCTAAAGATGAATTGTTGTTGTTCTGACACACAGCAACCCAGTATAGGGTTTCTGAGAAGCAGCTGCTGAGTTTTAACCACCCACCTTGTGGTTCAAACTGAACTTGCATTCGAGTGCTTATCCTACAGCACCACACCAGGCCTGATTAGTGTAATATTTATTCATGAACAACATTAAATACTGTACTTAAGATATCAATAACTGCAAGATACATTCCAATTTTAGAGATGTGAAACTGAAAAAGTAGGTGTCTTAGAATCATTGAAATATGAATATGGATTTGTATAATCAAACAATAAATACAAGTAAGGCAAAGAATTATAAAAGAAAAGAGAAATGATTTAAAAGAATGTTAATTCTACATTGCTTTCAAAAATATGTTTATATATATCATGAAATATATTCTTTAAGGTCATTAAATTAAATTAAATATTAAGAGCAAATAAAACAAAATAAAATGTGCACATGATTAACTCCCCAAAAGTTGAATTTCACTTGAAACTTTCATGAAAACTTGTATATCTCAAAATCTTTCAAAACTGAACGAAATTCTAACAGTTGTGAAATTTTTAACTTTTAGTTTTTCCCTGATCTGTCTTGGTTCAGGAACATACAGTCAAATTAGTTTAAAAATCAATAAAAGATGTTTGAAATGAAACACCTATGTCATATTTTTAAATTCAACTATTTTTCACAATTTGACTTATTGAGGTTGAAGCTTTAGGGCAATCTCTTGGAATACAAAAGTACAAAAGTAGGCCTGAGAAAAGGAAGGAAACATTTACACTGAATCTTACCTAGTCTACCAAGTGCCATGATGAATCAAAAACTAAATAAATAAAAGGGATAATTGCAAGGAGAGAAAATTTCAGTGTCTGAAATCCATATTTTGGTGTCACCTGAATGCATGTTGTCATAGATAAATATTTTCATTAGGGATTAAGTAAATTTATAAAACGATTTGGAATTTATTCTTTGGTGACCTAATGCATCTGATGTATTCAATAATTTTATATTTTCACTTTAGAAAATTTTGCTGCCAGAGATTTCTATCCTATTTAATCTTAGAGTTTGGGGAGGGCAGAGAGGAGCTATTTTCATAAGCCAAAGATGAACACATAGTAAGGACATAATCAGATCCTTGGTAAAATTTTGAGTCTTCCAGAGAATGTCTACAGCTTAATTAACATGAATAATTTTCAAAAATACATCAAATGTTTATAAATCCACATGTACTGAAGCATAAATATGTCCTCAGAGAAATAAGATGAATAGTTACATTGTAGTGTATATTTCACACATTTAAATATTACATCAAGAGCACAAAAATGCTGTCATACTGAAAGTGTTATTCAAGCTCTTAATTTTGTTAAAAACTTAAAAATCTCATTAATTGTATTTGATATCAATGAATCTCAAAAGGCTCCCCTTGCTATATTAGTTGAAAATAGGCACTATTTACATAAATTACTTAATCTAAAAATACCCTGTTTTCCCTTCTCATTTAAATTAGTTCTAACTTGTCAAATATTAACTCTCTTCTTACAAACTATTACACAGGAAAATATCAATGATTCAAGTAAAATACTAGATCTTTACGTAAGAAAGCACAAGACATCAACAACATAGCTATGGTCATCATCTAACACTGACTTGCCTATCAGGAAGTCTGTTCCTTCCAGCCTTGGTTCACACATTATTAAGTTAGTGCAAACTAGAGAGGGCGCAAAGAATCTATGAAACCTTGATTTCTCAGGATTCAATGTTACTATGCTCTTTTGAATAGTTTTATTCCATAAGGAAAATATTTTATCAAACTTGTAATGCTCAGTTTATAAACTGTCAGCATTTTAATTAATAGATGGATTCCAAATTTTCCTTTTATGGGGTTTTTCAAGCACCCATTTACTTTTCTTTTGGAAAAACAAAAACAAAAAAATGCTATGTGTAATAATCAGGCTGCAAGATGTGAAATTTACGTTACCCTTGCTACTGCAGGACTGAATGACGTCAGTGTCCACACTCTCATTTTGGGAAGGGAATGCTGTTCAATTTAGCTTTATATTTGCTGAGCTAGTGGAGTTTCTTTGTTGGTTCCAGAACAACTTACTACAAGCTTGTCAGTCCTCTTTAGAGTAGAATATGGGGTGAGCGCTAGTCTTCATTAAATGCAACTATCTAACGTTTTGATTTTTAACCCAAGTGCTGGAAGACAGCAAATCTGGGAAGATTTAATTATAAGAAGATATTTTAAATAAATTATTTTGTTATTATAGACACGGCTCTGTATTGTACAATTGCATATATGACCATTGGATGGCAAGCCAATAAAATCAGATTTAGTAAATCCACAGGAATATGGTAATTGTTAAGAAATATCCATTGAATAAGAATTAGAAACTTCCTGCCTCTGTGTCAAGTTCTGGGTTTGAGCATTGTACCATTTTGGGTACAATGCTCAATAGCTCTGATGTGAACAGGTTTCCCTGGAGTTATGAAATACTGGAGTCTCTTTGTCTTGATTATCACGAAAGGCTAGAAGTGAGTTATGGATAATTCAGCTTGAATGACTCTTTTCTTCTTTGTTTTGAATTGTTCACATGCTTAAATACTTGAGACCAGTAAATCACATTTGAAAATATTTGCCTAATTGAATGTTTTAAAGATTCCAAGAGGTAGCATGATATTGTGCAATGAGCACTGGCCGGCCAACATGACAGATGTGTTTTTTTTAATGCCGTTACTATCACTGGTGTGTTTTTGGAGAAACCATTTAAATTTTCTGAGTCTCAGTTCTCTGACTAATCAAAAGCATGAGTTAATATAGTTCTAAGTTATCCTCTAGCATCCTCCAATTTTATACTGCTATGGATTCTAGAGAGATGGGGTGAATCAGGGAAGTATTTTCCTTAGGCTGCACTGAAGAGAAAAATAATGTTTTTCATTAGAAAAATATTGATATCTACTTGGAGTGAAAATTTAAGAGCATTCATTCAAAAGTAGGGTACTCTGCTTGATGGTGGAATTTCAATCTATCTTGTGAATTTCAGTTTACTGATGTAAGAAGTGAACTGGTGAAATAATCTATCCAGTTTACCAGTTAGAAGACACAAAACTTTACATCTGCAAACAGTGAAACTATGCAGGTTTTGATGATACATTACAGTGTCCCTTATTAAACATTCAGTTTGAAAAACCAGTCATCTAGTTAAGTGACATTGTATTGTTAGGTTTTTACAGCAGTAGTAATTTAGCACTTGTTTAGTCCAGTCATCTGTGACATATATAAACGTATCCTGTAAGAAATAAAAACAAAACAAAAAATGTAAAGAGGAGAAAATGCTGTAGTTAGTTTTCGTCTTATGAAAACAACACCACCACCACAAAAACAAAACACACACACATACACACATGCATAAAAACTACAGTTTCAAAAGCTACATCCCTTACTGCGAGATTAAGAGTCTATCTGTCCACCTGTTGAACAAGTGAAACACTCACCACTTACTAGCTGTTCTTGACTATGCACTGCCAATTGCTGAAGTGGTTGGCAAAATTAGTATAAGTGACTAACAATTTTGTTTTTCATCCACATGTTCAGTGCAGGAAATGCTGTACCCTTATAGTGACACAATGCTGAAAGTCTCACAGCATGTCTCTCTCTAGGAAGCTAGGAATGGGTTACCTGTAAAGTGTAATCAGTGCTCATCAGATGATCTACATTCTATGCTGACCGCAATAAGTTATATATTACAGTAAAGTGCTACAATGACACTCGTCTCAAACAGTAGTAAGACACATGATTCTATGAAAATCTCAGCAGCTCTGTGAGTCACATTAGATGAGGAAGCTGGCAGTCTTCATTGGAGTATGCAACCAGCAACTGCCATGGCCTTGAATATTGAGGCTCCTCCTGTGACTTCAAATATTATCATTTTTAGGAGCAATTATTACAAGTTCAGTTTCTCACAAAGTACTTTATATCTTCTTTAGTAGTTGCACCTGAAAGTTTCATGAGCATTTAATTTGCTGAAATCTATTTTTATTTCTTCAGGCTTCTCACGTTGGTAGGTTACTGCTCTTGTACAGACACTATGCAGAATCAACTTATCCTTTGTGGAGAAAAAAAAATGGGATTATTTAATTAAAGACCTAAGTGTTTACAACTAGATAATAACATATTGATAGCAATTGTTTTTTCTTAATTTCACTAACCTTTTTTGAGGTTGGCCCTCTATAATCTACTGAGGACTTGATTTTATTACTACTCCATTGTAGTATCACCTGTCTAACAATAAGGACCTTAAGCAAGCCAATCAAGAATGTCACTATAAAGATGATGAAAAATATTCTCAAATAGCTGGGGCTAGAGAAACATTCTGTAATGAAACAAACAAGCAAATGGATTAAAACATTGGAATCAGTAAAGCAAAGGTTTCTAAAAGTAAATCACATTAAACATCCAACTTAATATGACAAGTTGTTGTTGTTAAGTACCGTTGAATCGGTTCCAATTCATAGTGACCCTGTTTAGTTTTCAAGGAGCAGGTAGTGAGTTAGAACCACCGATTTTGTGGTTCAAATAGACCTTGCAGTCCAGTACATTAACCTACAGCAGCAGAGATATTTGCAAGTCGGCATTTTTCAAAACAGGGAATGCTGTTACTCATTATTGTTGACTCAAAAGGCAAACGCTTTAATTTTTATTATATATTTATTATTAAAACGTTTTTAATACAAAACCTGCCTTTGTGGATATTATCCACAATTTAGGTATTTGATAAGATTATCTCTATGCAGTCTGATTTTTAAAATGGCATTAACTGGAATATGTATGCACCCCTTGTTGTTGTTGTTGTTAAGTGCCGTCGAGTCGGTTCCGACCCATAGCGACCCTGTATAGGGTTTCCGAGGGTGTAAATCTTTACGGGAGTAGAAAGCCTCATCTTTCTCCCGCAGAGCGGCTGGTAGTTTCAAACCGCTGACCTTAAGGTTCGCAGCCCGATTCGTAACCACTACGCTACCAGAGCTCCTTAGCCAAACATAATTTTATCGGTGACAGAGAGATCATTTTTATGGTGTACATTATTGATCAATAAGTGAAAAAGGTTTTTTCTTTTTCTTTTTTTTGGTAACAGCTCTAGCCATTAGCATATGTTTCTCTTGTTATGTTCTCTTCAGTTGTTGTATGTTAGTAATGGAAAATAAAGTAAACATTAGCAGAAGTGAAAATCAGTACTACTCTACTAGATGAGTAAATATTTCCTTTGAAATTACTGTGTGCATTTCCACCATTATTACACGTGGCTACTCCAGGATCTAGGAATGTCCAATTTAGGACAAAACACAAATTCCCTCAAGTTTTATTTATTTACTTTTACTTTCCCATTAGTCAAACTTATTCTAAATTGCCTAGAAAAATAAAAAACTCCACTATGTATTCTCTCAAGAACAAATCCCTATGAGCTGGTACAAGAAACGCTGAGTGAAGAGAAGGGGCATGCTAGGTCTCTGTTTTAACTCTAGACTTTTGGCAAACTCTAGTTGGAAACGCTACAGGACTCTCTTGTTAGAGGCAATCTTAATTTAAATGGAACTTGGTTGCGCAATACGCAAATATTCCACAGAACTCTCAGCTGCTTCAGACTCACAAAATCACCTCCTGGCCTGAAGAGTCATGTGTTTCTCCACCCATTTCCCAGAACTTGGGGTCCTCCCCTAAAATGCATAACGGGTTCTCTAGGGAGGGACCCCCAAGGCTTAGAGTAGTATATTACTTAACATTGTTTGATTTGGGTCTGAATTCCTAAGAATGGACAACCATGTTGTTGCATACACCAAGAACGGTGATGAGGGCAAGGAATCCTCCCCAAGCGGGGAGACTTCATAGAGCCAACTTTGCTTTCATTCAATGATAAGGTTCCTTGAGAGAAAGGTGCAAGGGTTGCCTGAGGGCTAAACATTGGAATTGGCGCATCAGATGCATTTGCTGGGCTCCCTTCTTCACCGAAGGAGCTCTGGTAACCTAGTGGTCACGAATCAGGCTCGAATTGTAAGGTCAGCAGTTCGAAACTACCAGCTGTTCTGCGGAAGACAGATGAGGCTTTCTGCTCCCGTAAAGATTTACAACCTCAGAAACCCTGTACAGGGTCACTATGAGTCAGAACCAACTCCACGGCACATAACAACAACAACAACAACTTCTTCACAGATCACATAGGGAATTCGAGTTGCCCTAGTCAAAGGCATTTACCCTCAGGTTCAAATGCTGAACACAGGCCTTGCATCCTGGCAGCCTGTGTCATTTTCCTTGGCTGACTTAGAACTACTCAGTCAGCGAAAGTAGATCCTCAGAGGGGACACGTGGCGTGATCCCACTTACTGGCTTCTAGCCTGGTAGAAGCTTAGCCAGAAAGACCAAAAAAAAAAAAAAAAAAAAAAAAAAAAAAAAAAAAGAGTGTCCACACCTTTATCTCTGCGGTTCTGTCAGGCGTCCATGACTGCTGCTGCTGCTGCGGATTTACAGGCATTATTAACCTCCGTCAATATGCTTCAAAAGACCTCTTTAAAAAGTAAAAAAAAAAAAAAAAATGCCCTTTGAGAATGATTGAATGGATGGATAATGTAAGTGGCTAACAAGTGCCCTTTCCTCTCCTTGCACAATAGTAGTGAAGGGGAGGGGAGCCCCCTAGCTACTGATACACTTTAGCAATATTTCTAATGGGTTAGCGTAGTGGACGTATTCAGGCCGCAAATCTCGCAAATCTACTGTTGCTACAGATGGCTAAACATTTACCCTGATCTATGTCATTTTTCTTGGTACAGGATAGGCAGGGGCCTTTGCTAAGAAGCTTTAAAGGGAAATTGTTGTAAAACCCTTAAGTCCGTGTATGTTTGTTTACTTAACATAACGGACATGTTGATAGCCAGGGCCCGATTTATTAGAAAAGGCCCTCAACTTTCTGTAGCGGTTGTTGCACTCCAGCTGGCTGCACATGGGGCCCCTTCCAAAGCCAAATTCATTATGGTTTAAGTCAGTGTGCTTAGGAGAGAAAAAGGAAATACAACTTTGACGAAAGCCTGTTCTGTGCACTCTATCTAAGAGCTGGAATTATTTGTATAGCTTGGAGAAAAGACTTGAAATAATAGTAGTGACAGTTATGTTTTCATTGAAAAAATAGTTTCAAGCTTAATTTTTAAATCAGCTATAGTTCAATACCACCGTTGAAAAATGGATGCTGCCCTTTTGGATGCAAATGAGCTTTGTCAGAAAATAGTCTACAGGCATATCTGTCACTTATAGGTCACCTGATAGTTTACATACTTCTCACACACCTCTTGAGGGCTAGTATCATTCTCTTTGTCCCTGGGTGGTACAATTAGTAGTAGCTTGTTCAGCTGCCAGCTGAAAGGTTGGAGGTTTTAAGTCCATCTAACAGCACCTCAGAAGAAAGGTCTGGTGAACTAGACCCTAAAATTACTTATTCAAAATTCTGTATGTTCAACTCCTAAGACCCATGTGGTCACCATGAGTTGTAATTCACTAGATGGTAAATGGCTTTTTAAACATTATTGCCTCTGCTTTATAGATGAGGAAACTGATAGTTATTATTGCAGGATGCCAAATATTTCTTAACTAATACTTCTAAGGGGAACACAGTGACTCCATAGGATTAGCATTTGACTGTGACTCACAAGGTTTGTGGTTTGAGCCCACCAACTGCTCTGCAGAAGAAAGTGAGTCTTTCTCCTCCTGCAAAGATTTAAAACTTTGGAAACCCTATACAGGGTTATCATGAGTTGGAGATGACTAGAACGCACTTAAAGACAACAATACTGTTAAAGGGACATAGCTTAAGAAGGTCTTCAGACTAAAAAATTCTATACCTCTTCCTTTCTGTCATATTAAAAACCATTCACTCCTAAACTGTATTTATATCAAAATAAAAAATTTCTAAGAAAAAGAGAACCTTTGAAGTTAGTTTTCAGTAGCAGACCACTGTTACTTAGAATCTTTTGTTTTCACCTGAAGCATGAAAGTAAACGTTGGCTCTATACAACGAAGGTTAGATCTTTAAGCAAGTTTGGTTATGAAGGAATATTCTGGCTCTACTGAACTGTCTATAGTGGTGAAATGGTTCACTTAGGCCTCTGTAGTTGATCTATTTGGATGCCCTTCCACTGAGGTCTATGGAATGGGAATTTAGCTGAATAATTATGAGTGAAGATCTAACAACTCAGCTGAATTAAGAAGAACATACTTGGGTATAAAGTGTTCCATCTCTGGAATAGTTAAGCATTTGAAGCAACTAGTTCTGTTTTAAAATGGCTAACTATGAACCCTTTTCAGAATGTAACCTACTGTAGATACTCTTCAATACTTTGATTATTAAGCTTTTGTTTACCTGATGTTTGGTCCACAGAATGCTGTTCCATGAGAGCACATGAGGTTCTACACTGATCAAGTATAGCCTGAGAGAGATTGTGAGGGTGAAGACATTGCATGCAATTCCTGTAAGGGAAGGTAGGCAGAAGCAAAAGCATTTATTCATTGAAAAACTTGCAGCTTGGAATATTTTCTATGAGAAACAAAATAGCAAAATAAAATACTGCTTTAGGACAACAGCCTTTTAAAACTAGGACAAAAGGCTATGCAACTTATTTGTAATCTTGAATAAAATTAATACTGTAACAAAGTGACGTTCTAGTAACTTATTAAATTTACTAAAATAATAAAGAAAATCAAAATAATGATATCACTATATTGGGAAGAAAATATCTAGAAAATGGATAATATACACTTAACCATAAATTAGCTAATTAATTGTATAGGTGTTTTGGAAGACTAACAATATATTTGTTGTTGTTGTTGTTGTTAGTTGCCATCAAGTAAGTATCAACTCATAGTGACCCTACACACAAGAGAATGAAACACTGCCCTGTCCTGGGCCAACCTCACAATTGCTGCCACGTTTGAGCCTATTACTACTAGAAAAATTTAGCAATGATAGACAGCTCAAACTTTGGTCAGGTTTAATCATGTTTCAATACTGTACTTTAAAATGAATTAGCTAAATTATTATAGCAAAATCAAACACGCATTTGCAAAACAATGAAAAAGGATCCACATCTCATACCGTATATAAAAAATAACTCAAGATCAAAGACCTAAATGTAAAGCTTAAAACCTAAATGTATAACTTAAGACCTGTATGTAAAACTTAAAACCTAAATGTGTAACTTAAAACCTATATGTAAAACTTAAAACCTAAATGTAAAGCTATAAAAACCATCAAAGAAAAAACAGGGACAAAGTTAGGGACCTTAATGCATGTCATTAAGACATAACTGTCAGACATAACTGAAGATTCACTAACAGCAGAAGACCAAATAGATGGCTGAGGTCTCCTTAAAATTAGACACTTATGCAAAACAAATGATTCTATCAGAAACATAATAAGAGAACACACAGACTAGGAATTTTTTTTTGTCAAGGACATATCAAACAAAGGACTAATCTCTAATATTTTTAGAAAATTTCAGCACCACTGTGAGTTAATGCACCAGAATGCAAAGTTGTTTGAATTGCAAGGTTGGCGGTTCAAGTTCACCAGCCGCTCCTTGGAAACCCTATAGAGGGTCACTATGGGTCGGAACCAACTCAATGGCACTTCACAACAACAACAAAAAGACAAAACAAGCTTGCAGTCTAGCACATTAACCCATAGCTCCACATGAGGCCTCCAAGGTCACTGAGACACAGAAAATTTCAGCCACTTCCCCTGAAGCATACAACTAGCTAATATTAAACTGGAAAGCAGGCAGGCCCTAACTTTAAGAAGCTATTCCATAAATGATAAGATAGTGATTGCCTACATAAAGTTTGATGCTTTCACCGTTCTCTAATAGCCAAAGATGAGAACCCACATCTCCCAATTCCTAAAACTCCTCATTCAATTGTTTCTTGGCATGATGGTAACATTTTATTTGCAGGAAAAGATCCAGCCTCTACCAAGCTTTAGGAAGGCAGAATGTTAAAGTAACAAAAGCACTATTACACATGTTTGGTGGCAGGGAAAAACGCACCAGTTTCCATTGCAGGCTGGGTTGCAGGTAGGACAGTGTTCACAGAAACGCCCAATGCTCATGGGATCCGTGCACTCGCATCTGCCACACACACAAGTGCCTCTCCCACTGCACACTTGGCCTTTTGAGTTGACACAGTGTTGGGCTGATGTTAATGGACATTGGCACCAATCCCCTTCCCAGCCACTGTAGCATCGACACCGGCCAGCTTCACATTCTCCATGACCTGCAACAGAGACACTCCAGGACCTAAGGTGTGTGGAGCCATCGACTTTGTGAAGCATTCCCAAACCTGCATTCTCTCGGGTCTCCATGAGAACACACTGACAGTCCAGTGAATGGAAGCAGCATCGTTTCCTACTTTCCTGACACACACCGTTGCCAGGCTTTGTGAGCATCTGCAAAAATATAGATCGTTTCCCGATTCGAGTACATTGTGCTGACAAGTATGAAGTTGGCCCCTGCTGGGGTTGCTGCCTGACTACTTGAACATCACTGTACACTCAGGTTTAAATGACAAAGACACAAGTATAAAGAGCTACAAAGGCTGAAGTAATGTTAATTGATTGACTTGAAATCAGAAAAATAAAGGCATGCAATTAATGGCTTCCATAATTTACTCTTTCCTTAAGTAAGTTAAGTCTTTGTGTTATTGCTAAAGCCTGGGACAACTCTGAAGGTCTTCAGTTCCGTTAGTGTTATGTTGAAAGAAAAGATTTCCTGTGAAGCTGAACAAATCCTTTCAGTATCCCAGGGGCATTATTTAGTACGTGAGCATGTCATAAAGTATGCTGTGAGTTGTTGCTATTGTTGTTGTTGTGAAATGCCGTTGAGTTGGTTCCAACCCATAGCAACCCTTATAGGGTTTCCGAGAAGCAGCTGGTGAGCTTGAACTGCCAACCTTGTGGTTCAAAGTGACTTTGCAGTCCAGAGCATTAACCCACAACACCACACCAGGACTCCCAGATCTATCAGCTATGCCATGTAACCAATGTAACCATTTAACCAATGTTTCCACAACTTATTTGTCCACATAAACATCCTGAGACCCTTTGTCTTTTCCATTTAGGACTTACTAACAGGCGTGAGTTGGTTAAATGGTTACATTGGTTAAACGGCATAGCTGATGGATTTTAGACATTAGAAAGTGTCCAAAATTCAGTATAGTTATGTGGATTATAAATCTCCAACTGGGGGAATCTTTTCTAGGGTGACACAGTATTTGTCAACTTTATTTAGCCATAGGCATTCTTCCTTCCCTGCGACCCTCCCTCTTCCATCTCTCTCTCCATTTCTTCCCTCAGTTTTCCCTTGCTTTCCTTTACTGCTAAACATCTCACTGGGTAATTATTTTGTGCAATCTATTGTATCATCTTAATTTGCTAAAATGTAAAACTAATGAGGCCCAAGTCTAATAAATACCTGCTAGGCCTTGTGTGCCTACGAGTAACCAGCTGACCTGCAAACCTGTGATTTCAGTTCCAAAAGGGATTAGTGGAAAAGAATGTGTGTCAATATTATAGTTTGACTGTTATGTACAGGAAATTCAAAGCAGATTCTCAACTGTCTAAGGGTCAGTTGTATTACAGTCAGATAGAAAGACCAGTATATTGATTCTGTTGATATTTCACTATAAACACAGACTGGGATTTTCAGTGTATCTTAGATTTCACTGAGAAATGGACAATAATGAGCAGCAGTCTTAGAATCATTTTCTTGCCCATTCCAATGGGATTAGCTCTAAAAACACCAATTGCTGATTTGTTATAAAACCCCATCCAATACCATGGAGATTGTTCCAACTCATAGCAACCCTACAGCATAAGCATAGAACTGAGTCACAGGGCTGTTGTTATTGTGAAGTGCCATTGAGTCAGTTCCAACTCATAGTGACACTGATAGGGTTTCTGAGGAGTGACTGGTGGCTTGTTTGCACTTCTGTGCTTATCCTACAGTGCCACACCAGGACTCCGTCGGGTGACTGAGACTATAAATCTTTACAGGAGCAGACAGTTTTAACTTCCTCTCACAGTGATCCACTTGCTTTGAGGTTAGTAGCTCAACGTTTAACCCACTGCACCACCAGTGCTTCTTGATTTGTTCTAAAGCCATCTACAATTCATTGTACCCATGATACTAGATACAGTTGATTAATTTTTTTTTTCTTTGTATAAAGTTAAGTGTCATGGAGTATGCTCCAATTCATAGCGACTGTATAGGGTTTCCAAGGAGTAGTTGGTGGATTTGAACTGTCTACCTTGTGGTTAGCAGTCCATCATGGTATGGCACTTCAGGGTAATGTACTGGACTGCAAGGTCAGTTTGAACTGCAAAGTCAGCAGCTCAAGCTCACCAGCTGCTCCTAGGAAACCCTACAAAGGGTCGCTATGGGTTGGAAGTGACTCAACAACACTTAACAACAACATTATGTATAATATATTACATAGTTTATCACATACAATTAATTGCATAGAATAAGCAGACAACTTGCCACCACATATTTCAGTATGTGTGATATAAGGCACATTTTTAACTTATACCAGAATAGAAAACTTTGTTTATAACTTTGTTACTCTCAATATCTTAATGATGATAAAATATTTTAGTTCTTAAATAATTAAAGCAATACTTGTTCACTTAAGAACATACACTAAAAAGGTGTTTCACACCACAAGGATTTAGCACATTGTCAACAGAAATGTCTCACCAGCTGCTCCTAGGAAACCCTACAAAGGGTCGCTATGGGTTGGAAATGACTCAACAACACTTAACAACAACATTATGTATAATATATTGCATAGTTTATCACATACAATTAATTGCATAGAATAAGCAGACAACTTGCCACCACATATTTCAGTATGTGTGATATAAGGCACATTTTTAACTTATACCAGAATAGAAAACTTTGTTTATAACTTTGTTACTCTCAATATCTTAATGATGATAAAATATTTCAGTTCTTTAATAATGAAAGCAATACTTGTTCACTTAAGAACATACACTTAAAAGGTGTTTCACACCACAAGGATTTAGCACATTGTCAACAGAAATGTTCACGCAGAATTGTGATGATAACTAAACCACATTTCCTCCCCTCCCACTATTGTTGAGTGAATTCCAACTCAAACAACCTGCCGAAGAGATGAGAACCTTCCATAGGGTTTCTGAGGCTGTCAATCTTTATGGAAACAGATGGCCACATCTTTCTCACATGGAGTGGCTAGTGGGTTAGAATTACCTTTTTGGCTAGCAGTCCAGTGTTTAACCCACTTGCCACCAGGTTTCCAGTTTATTTCATTAATTTTAAAATAGTTGTTATTGTTGTTAAGTGCCATTGAGTCGGTTCCGGCCTATAGTGATTCTGTGTAGGGTTTCCTAGCAGAGGCCAGTGCACTTGAACCTCCAACCTTGTGGTTCAGATCAACTTTGAAGTCCAGTGCATTAGCCCAAAGCGCCACACCATGACTCCTTTAAAACATTTAATTCTCAAATGTTGTTCACATTTTCTGGAATCTAACCTCTAGGTGGCAGTAAAACGAATAAGCCTAACCATGATATTTTATTTAGCTTTTATTTTTAATAATATGTATTTCATTTTTATTTAGTCAGTGTGTAGTCTCAGAGACTAATCCTCTAGACTACTTATTAAACTAGTATTTTCTTGAAAAATATTCTTCTTTGACAATTCTGGTGGTGTTCTAAAATAAACTGGGGAGGTTTAAATTACTAGACTTACAGTATCATATATAATAATGCATGAATACTTTCTAATTAACTAAAAGCATTTTTAAATAGTCCAATTTCCATCATCCTGAAAGAAATAAAAGACTTGAGGCAAGCTGGAGGTAAAGAGCATTTATCATAATGAATCCTTTCAGAGAAATAAATTACTTACAAAAAAACCGATCCGTTATGAGCAGTAATTTCCTTTTCTGATATACTTTTCCAAAATCAAGGAATGCATGAGAATATCAATTAATTTTTACTCTTAATTTTTCATACATTTCCTATATGGTGGTAGTGGTGGTGGTATGCTGTTGAGTTTGTTCTAACTCATAATGACCCTGTATGCATTTTTCATGGCTGTACATTTTTACAGGAGCAGAAAGAGTCATCTTTCTCCTGAGGAGGAACTGGTAGATGTGAACAGCTGACCGTCCGGTTAGCAGCACAGCTCATAATCTACTATGCTACCAGGGTTCTTTGTTTCCTATATAAACTAAGTTGAAGTACAAATTCCAGAATTATGTGCTGTATATCTGTTGCTGTTGCTAAGTGCAGTCGAGTCGGTTCCGACTCATAGCACATTGTATAGGATTTCCGAGGAGCGGCTAGTGAGTTTGAACTGTAGAACTTGTGATTGATTTCCAGTCCATTGGTGATCCTACAGTGTCACACCAGAAGTCCACATATCTACTGCTGTGTTCTTATTTTATAGTCTTATTTCACAGACTATGAAATTTTGAAGAATAAATTTGGACTCAGTGTTGATAACAGGGAAAGTTGTGATTTAAAGATACTTTAACGTATATGTTCATGTCATTGAGGCTAGTCAACCTGCATGTATAGAATATGAAAACGGTAAATTTTCTACTATTTATATTTTTGCAATTAAAAAATGAAAACAAAAATTAAACTGCATGTATGTATTTACACTCACCAGCACACAGATTTCCATGGTGATATGGACAAGAAAAGTCATCCTTTTCGCAGTATTTTCCATACACGTTTCCAAGCTTTGTTTTGTGACATAAACACCTTCCACAAATGCAAACTCCTCTACCGCTGCAAACAGGTTGATCCTTGTGTGACTTGCAACTCTCAGAAGGAAACTGATCTTCATCAGAATGACATTTATTACCACCGCACTGGAAACAGTTAGCGTCCCAAACAGTCTCGTCTACACATTTTCCTTTCTGTTCTCTGCTATCATCACACTGGCAGCTGCAGTTTCTATGGATATAAACCGTAGTGGTTTCATTGAAACCAATAGGCTTGATTACCGCATAGCTTTTTCCTCCTGTGACATCACAATTTTTCATTGTAACGGTTACACTGAAAAAAACCTAAATTTAAGGGGAGAAGGGAAATACATTTATACTTGATTATTTTTATTTCCAATAATGCCTCTATTAATATTTAGAATCAATAATGCACCATCCCCGAGTAATGGATAATATTAATAAATTACACATGCAATGCAATCCTTTTTATGCCTCTTTTAAGATCATTTATTTTCTAATTAATGAATGAGAGGGTCAAAGGATGTAATGGTTGCTAATTCTTTATATTGTACTTTTAAATGAAGTTGGGTAGGTGCAAGTTTAAGTGTTGACACCACGTTTGGAGTCCTGGTGTGGATATGCACTCTACCATAAAGTCGGTTTGAACTGTAAGCTTGGCAGTTCCAACTCGCCAGCCACTCTTTGGAAACCTACACTGGGTTGCTATGAGTCAGAACAACAAGAATGCTACCTTTCATAATTAATTTATTTCTTGAATTGATTTCCTAGCAAACTTGAGCTAGAATAGATCATTTTCTGGATTCAGTTCTTATAGTCAGGAATTATTTAATTTTCTAGGAACTCTGGTGATGTTGTGGGTTAGGTATTGAGCTGCTAACTGCAAGGTTGGCAATTCAAATCCAGCTTCAGGAGAAAGATGAGGCTGTCTTCTCACCTAAAGATGTATAGACTTGGAAACCCTATGTAGGGTCACTGTAAGTCAGAAGTGATTATATGACAGTGGGTTTGTCTTTGGTTTTTAGAAATCTAATAAGCAAAAGTAAAGGGCTGCTCATCTATAGGTTAACAACCCTTAGATGAGATATTCAAATGAAGTTTTTATCTTCTCATTTTCTAGATACCCAAGTCAAGTTGAGGAGATTACATTTACTTTACACAGGTGTCAATGGAAGAAAACTGAAGACATCTTTCACCACTGCTCACAGTTAAAAGGTTTGGGATGCTCCTTCTTAGATTTTATACATCTCCCACAAAGGTGAGAAGGTTATCTTACTGGGAGATGTGAAGCTACAACTAAGGGGCAGGATGGTAAAAATTGATTTCCATCGTGAATTTGTCAATTCTCTATCCTGTCAAATGTTTCCTTTCCCCTTTTTTTTCACAAAAGGATATTAGTGTAGTGTCTATCTGTATATGCTGACCCATTTTACTGTGTCTGTTTTGTTTTTTGCCCGAGATTAAGACTTGTAATGTATTAACAGATGACCAGCTAAGGAAAAGTCATTGATGTCTTCATATGTCTTTCACTTAAGAAAAAGACCATTCCTATAGCAATGAACAAGATCCTGCCTGATATGACTATTTTCAGAGACTTTGGAAAATGAGAAAGTTATATGTTTCCCCCCCACACTCCATGTTAGACTGAGATCTGTTAAAATTTTAAAATATATTTAATACAGTAACATGCATAATATTATCTAAAAGTTCAAAATTCAGACTTTTATGTTAGCATTATGAATTAGAGATAGTCTCATAATAGCAAAATCACTACAGTTGATGTTGTACTTTAAATCTTTTTGTCTTTAAGTATATGAGAATGAGCAGATGTGCAGGATAATGTGATCACTGCTAATTTTAATAGTAGAGCAAAACTTGGCTTTATACAATTAAAAGGCCATATGACTACCCGTGAGAATCAAACTGTTTATACTACTTGGTTGAATGTGAAGAAGAAGAAGAAGAAGAAAAAAAGAAACAGGTTAAAAAATAAAGAAGAAAGAAAGAAATGGAAGAACTAAGGAAAACCATCCTGCCAAAGCCAAAATTATGAAAGAAAACAAAACAAAACAAAACTACTTCTAAGAGAATAAACCTTGAAAGAAACCTACTACTAACTTTTGCTTGTATGAACGTTTCTCTGTATTTAATGGAAATCAAATTTGTAAACTGGTATATAATGTCTCTCGAAAGAAATCCAGCAAATAAGAAATTAGAAACCTGTTGTTATTTTTAAAATACACATACTATAAATATTA